CCCCTATCTCCCCAGTGCAAGAAGCCACACTATATCAACATCCAGATGGGTTAGGGAGAACACTTAACTATGAAGCAAGTTCAAGGCCAGGATTTTATTATACACAAGACCAGACATTTTAACTTTGGACACATTACTCATTAATTCCTTAGTTATGGGACATGTCAAGTAAGCCAATCTAATACTCAATAATTTTGAGAATCATTAATTAAGAGAGAGAATTCAAAGCCAAGTGACTGGGTGAAATCAGCACAGGAGAAAACATAGCTAGAGAAGAAAAGAGGACTGAACAGGGCACTTCTACACGTAAAGTTCCAAGTCACTAGTCTTCCAGGTATAGCTTACTTTCCTTCCCTGCACCTCTGCTTCCTCTTCAGTGATTTGAGCATTTCAGCTGGAATGTAGAATGTCAGAGCTGGAAAACAGGTTTCAGGGTAGGTGTAAGATTTATAGAACTCCAATTAGCTAAGGAAAACAAATAAACAAACAAACAAACCCTACACCTAGGCATATAATAGTCAAAATTCTAGAAATCCAACATGAGAAAAACATGTTAAAAGCAGTTAGATAAAAGAAACAAATCACATACAAAAGAAAGACTATTACAGTCATAGTAGACTTCTTAACACAAACCCTCAAGTCAAGGACAGCCTGGAGTGAAATATTTCAAGCCCTCTGAAACCCTTCAACCCAGATTGATGTATCCTACAAAGCTATCTTTTAAAACAGATGGAGAAATAAGATACGTCTACCACAAAGAACATGTGAGGAACTTCATGAATACCAAACCAGCACTCCAAAAAATTCTAAACAATATCCTCGGAAAAGACAAGGAGGATCACAACTCCATGAGGCCCCACCAGGCAAGACAAGAAATTAAATGCAGCAGCAGGTGGGTGGTGGTTTGTGTGACTCCAACAACAGGAAAAGATCATGACAAGGATAAGTCAATACATATCAGTTATAAGCATCAATGTTAACAGTCTCAATTCACCAATCAAAAGAAATAGACTGGCAGAATGGATCAAGAAGCAAGATCCAACAATATGCTGCATACAAGAAACACACTTAATTCAAAATGAAATTCACAGGCTGAAAGTAAAAGGGTGGAAAACAATATTCCATGCAATAAAAACCTGGAAAAAAGCAGGGGTAGCTATCCTATTTTGATAAAGTGGTTTTCAAACCAAGACTAATTAAGAGAGATGGAGAAGGTCAATACATCCTTGTAAAAGGAACAATTTAACAGGAAGAGACGACAATCATTTATATATATGCACTAAAACATACAAGAAACACTTAATTCAAAATGAAATTCACAGGCTGAAAGTAAAAGGGTGGAAAACAATATTCCATGCAATAAAAACCTGGAAAAAAGCAGGGGTAGCTATCCTATTTTGATAAAGTGGTTTTCAAACCAAGACTAATTAAGAGAGATGGAGAAGGTCAATACATCCTTGTAAAAGGAACAATTTAACAGGAAGAGACGACAATCATTTATATATATGCACTAAATATTAGTGCATCCAACTACAGAAAGCAAATGTTAATGGACATAACAATCAACTTGCACTAATACAACAGTAGTGGGGGATCTCAATACACCATTGTCACAAATAGAACAGGACAAAAAAATCAACAATGAAATACTAGAACTCAACCAAACTCTTGAAGAAATGGCTTTAGTAGCTGCCTACAGTGTTCTACCCCACAAATCAGAATACACTTTCTTCTTAATTGCACAGGGGTCATTCTCTAAAATAAACCACATACTAGCTCATAGAACATGTTTAAGTAAATGCAAAGGAATTGAAGTTATCCCTTGTATATTATCAGATCACAGTGTAATGAAACTGAAAACCAATAGCAAAAGAAACCACAAGAACTTCATAAACAAATGGAAATTGAACAACACACTCCTGAACAACCAATGGGTCACAAAGGAAATTAAAGAAGAAATGAAATAGCTTACACAATTAAATGACAGTGCCAATACAACATGCCAGAATTTACGGGACACAATGAAAGCAATATTTCAAGGAAAATTCACAGCAGTGAATACTCATATTAGGAAAACAGACAAGCTTAAATAAATAACCTAATGCTGAACCTCAAGCTTCTAGAAAAAGAGAGCAAGACAAACCCAAAGCTTGTGTTAGAGAGGAAATTACAAAGGTCAGAGCAGAAATCAATGCAACGGAGACTAAGAGAATGATACAAAAAAATGAGTGAAGCAAAGAGCTGCTTCTTCAAAATAATAAACAAAATTGACAAACCCTTAGCCAACCTTATCCAGAAAAGGAAAGAAAAGGCCCAAATTCATGCAATTAGGAATGAAAAGGGTAAAATTACAACGGACCCAACAAAACTCCAGAGGATCATCAATACCTATCTTTGAGACTCTGTACTCTAGTGAAATGGAAAATCAGGAAGAAATAAACAGATTTCTAGATACAAATGGATTCCAAAGTTGAACGAAGACTAAAAAAAAAATTTTAAACAATCCAATATCAATCAATGAAATTGATAATTAAAAACTTACCAACAAAGAAAAGCCCTGGTCCTGATGACTTCACTGCTGAATTCTACAAGACATTTAGAGAACTACTTCCACTACTATTTAAATTCTTCAATGAAATTAAAAAGGAAATAATACTCCCAAATTTATTCCTAAAAGCAATCACCTTGATCCCAAAAGCAGAGAAAGATCCAACCAAAAAAGATAACCATAGGCTAATCTGTCTAATAAACATAGATGCAAAAATCCTCAATAAGATACTGGCAAACAGAATGCAGAAGATCATCAAGATGATCATATATCATGACCAAAGAGGATTTATCCAAGGAATACAGGCATGGTTCAAGATATGCAAAACAATAAGTGTAAATGCACTATATTAACAGAGACAAGGACAAAAACCGTATGATCATCTCAATAGATGCAGAAAAAGCATTTGACAAAAATCCAACACTGATTCGTGATAAAAACCCTACAGAAAATTGGAATAGATGGTCTCTATTTCAACCCGATAAAAGCCATCTATCACAAACCAACAGCCACCATCATACTTAATGGTCAAAATCTGAAACCTTTCATGCTAAAATCAGGAACAAGAAAAGGATATCCATTATCACCAGTCATATTCAATGTAGTTCTGGAAACATTAGCCACAACAATTAGACAAGAGAAAGAAAGAAAAAGAATAAAGACAGGAAATGAAGAAGTTAAATTGTCATTATTTTCAGATGACATGATACTCTACATAGAAGACCCCATGAACTCCACCAAAAGTCTTCTAGACTCAATAATCAAATTCAGTAGAGTAGCTGAATACAAGGTCAACACTCTAAATCAATAGCCTTGCCAGGGATTTAGCTTAGTGGTTCTGCCCCTGCCTGGAAAGCCCAAGGTCCTGAGTTCTATTCCAAGTACAAAAAAAAAAAAAAAAAAAAAAAAAAAAAAAAAAAAAAAAAATAGTCTTCCTGTACACAAAAAAAACACTCACTGAGAGAGGAACTGGAGAAACAACTCCTTTCATAATAGCATCTAAAAAAAAAAAAAATTAAATACCTAAGGATCAATCTAATGAAAAAGTAAAAGATCTCTACTCTGAAAACTACAGCACTCTGAAAAAAAGAGATTGACGGGATCAAAGTGTATATCAGAAAAAGGAAAGACATCCCTTGTTCTCTGGTAGGAAGAACCAATATAGTATAGTATAATAGTTTTATTCCTGATTTTCACTTTCTGTGATCTTTGAGAATTCACTATTTCCTAGTTACAAAGGGATAATAATAATAATAATAATTACAGATATGTCACTGGGAGGTAGTTTGGGGGTTTCAGTGAAGTAATGCATGTGAACGTATTTGTAAGATAGATATAACGATGGAACACTATGTAGTTGAGACTGACCTGGACCTCACTAGGTAGCCCAAGCTGGTCTCGAACTCACAGCGATCGTCCTGCCTCAGCCTCCCGAGTGCTGGGATTACAGGCGTGTGCCACCATGCCCGGCAGAGTTTGGTTGGTTCAATTTTTCACTAAAAGCCTATCAGTTTTAATTCTGAATCTAACACCCTAAATTCCTTAGTCTTTGTTAAACTGATGTAAAATACTTTATTTTCAAAGTATGAATAGCAAACATATACTAAGTGCTAACACATAGAGCTCAATAAATGCCCATCAGGCCCTATTTTTTGGATAAACTTTGGAGTTCTTTTCTCAATCTTATTACCACTGACATTTGAAATGTTTAATTCGTTATTGTGGGATATTAGGGGCTGATTTGTGCCCTCTTCAAAATAATATATGTTGGGAGTCCGAACTCCCAGGACGTCACCTTGTGGGTATATTTAGAGACAGGGTCTTGGAAGAGGTAACTGAAGTAAAATGAAGTCACACAGCAGGTGCCGCCCAATTTGTTCCTTGTCAGAAGAGATAAGGGGACAGATACATGAGACCAGGCTTGGACACAGAGGGATGACAACTGTCTGCAAGCCAGGTTAGGAGGCCTTGGGAGACATCTACTAACCTGAAGACTTTTCAGCCTCCGGCACTTTGAGCCAGGAGCACCTGTCTGTGGAACGCTGTCATGCGGCCCCAGCAAACTCACAGAGGAGCTCACTGTGCGTTCTAACACCTGGCAGTGCATCTGGCCTCTACCACCCTTTGCACCTCCATCAGTTTTGACACCCCAAAATCTCTACACATTGTTCAAATGTCCCCTTAGGTACGAATCTTTCCTGCCCGTCCCACTGAGTGTCTTTAGTTACCTGTGTAGTCCCCAGGGCTTAGCACAGCAACTGATACATAACTAGGTAGATTACCAAATATTTACGGAGTGAATGCATGTGCCTGGTTCCCCATCCTCGGTCTTACCAAGCCCTTGGAAACTCCTTTTGCGGAAATAAAATAATAATTACTTCCAGATTAATTTACAGTGGACTGGGTAATGTTTAATGAAACAAGCAGTTTTCATGGCAGCATGGATTCTGCAACTCAAGTGTTGTTAACATCACACCAGCCTTAACCTTTCTCTCTGATACTGCTCACTCAGCTCACTGCAGACCTGCTAAGACTCGCAAGTGTGCTGCTGTCAGCCTACTTAGCTACTAGACTTGAAGCAGCTACAATGACTAGGACAAATTCTTACTACGTGAAACTCAGGGCACTCATGAAGAAGAAGACAGACAGCGGATTTCAGTGCCAGGACGCCAAACAGTTACCATAATGATATTCCACAATCAAGACTTCAACACACACCCAGAGGGTGATGTCAACAGAGACATTCTCTGGAAAGGTGAAATCACAAATCCTGTCCCCAGCACTTTCATGAATTTGTGTTTTAACTTTGCTTCATTTGTTATCTGTTATTTGAAAGCAGATGTATTTGGGTCGTGGCTGGCAGAGAAGTGACAGAGGCATGGTCTGGCTCTGAAATGTCAAAGCACTGGGAACAGGAAGACATTCTGCACACAGATGACACTATCTGACCGGCATGATGATAGCGGTTTATATAGCCTTTACTCCATTGTGCACAGGGCACCATTTTGAGGACATTGTTTTAATTTGACCTGAGTCAGTCTGTTCATTTACAAATCCATTTATTGCATATTTCAGTAGCTGGGATTCATTCTGTTAAGAAATTTCACTAGCTCAAGTTAAAAAATACTAAAAGTAGTCATTTTAAAGTATCATTTCAGAAAAAAATGTCTGTTTAAAAGTTATTGTGACTTTAAAAAAATTATATTACTAACGTAACTTTTAAGACTGTAATATAACTTTGTACCTTTAAAAATTATAATACTAACTTGTAACTTAAAAAATTTATAATACTAACGTTGTGACTTTAAATGGGAACCCTACTTCCAGGGACACGTGAAACCCAAGTCTAATAAACACCGCCCCTACCCCGGGTGATAGTACCACAGAACTGTGGTGACAGGCACTCACACATGCCCACGACTAAGTGAAGCAGACACAGACATCTCCAATTCAACCACTTGTTATGGTGGAGAGGAGGAAAAGGATCCTCTTCTAAAGCTGGTTTTTCCATAGTGAAAAACGAGAATGGTTCGCAGATACCCTAAAAGTGCAAACCAAACAAATCCCTCTGCAAAACAGTTTGCCCACTCAGGGAAGCTGGTGAACAAGCAGATGATAATGGTTTAGAGATAGGAGGCAACTGACCACGTGATAATGTTTTATCACCTTTTCCTTTTTCAGAAATATGGGAAAGAATGAAAACTAGTTAACCATAACATATAGAAATTCGCATCTTTCCTCGGTCATTTATAAATATGAAATCTACATTCAGCAATCAAAGCTACCACATTTTGATCATGGCATTAAAAGAGTTGGCAAAGGCCCCTAATTCCTATTACGTTTATTTCTTGGTTCAATCTCAGCACTTTCAGCTGCTCTCGTGCGGCGATTCTGTCTTGGGCTTGTTTCGATGTCTTGAAGATCATTTCTAAAAACAGAAAGAAATGACAGCTTAGAAAGCAATGATCATTGTTCCATCGTTATATCTATCTTACAAATACTTTCACATGCATTACTTCACTGAAACCCCCAAACTGCCTCCCAGTGACATACTGTAATTATTACTACTATCCCTTTGTAACTAGGAAATAGTGAATTCTCAAAGAGCACAGAAAGTGAAAATCAGGAATAAAACCTTTTCTGAATCAAAATCTAGTAGTTTTATGCTTGTGTTAAATATCTTAATATGTAAAAATCTGGGAAAAAAGCTTCTTCTATCCTAACAAGAAAAAGCCAGTCTAACCATATCTCTTACTGATCCTGTCAGAAAGCTGAGACTGTAAGGCAACCGAGAAAACAGTACTCACGAACCCTCCAGAGAGACGGCCACGCAGCCTCTCTCACTGTAAGCAGAGCGCTGGAGAGAGATGGGCGTTGCTCTAACCAGGTACGAAATCAGCTGAAATTCTTATGAATTCTTTCTCTTTCCTTTCAGTCGCTGGGGTGGAACCCAGGGTATCATGTGCTTGGCCAATTAGTACTGCCTGCCTCCCAGACACTTCTGAGAAGCAAAAGCTTTTAATCACTGAGGGAAGAGCTGAACTCACAGCCCAGGGTGCAAGTGAAGATGTACTGCCTCAGAGCGGCAGATGCAGTCTGTCTAAGGCGGAAGGACAGGAGACACTTCGTAGGGGCACAGACAGTAGGCCACTGCTGCCGGGAAATGACAGAAACTACAACTTCCACCTCTGGGGGAGGAGCAGGAAAGAGTTGCTGGGGTGTGGGGAAAAGGAATGTTGACCAGGCAGAGTAGAGATGGTTTTTAGGGCTGACACTGTTCTTCCGTATGACACTAAAGTGGGGGCTGTATGTGCTTTACAACTTGCTAAAAGCCATAAATTATGCAGCACAAAAAGTGAACCCAAATGTAAACTGTTACAATGTCCAAAGCCAAGGGAGAGGCCTCACACTGCCTGACTTCAGGACTTCCTATGAAGCTGCAGAAACAACAGTGTGCATCATTCATGAAGACAGACTGATCAACGCAGCAGAACAGGGACTCACACGCACATACTCCACTGACTTTCAAAATAAGCACCAATGTTATTACAGGGAGATAGGACAGTCCCTTCAGGATACAGTGTGCAACAGCCAGAGTTCCTGATGCAAAAAAGAAAAACCAAACCAAAATTCATACTTCTAACATTTAAAAAACTTACATGAAATATGTTATAGACTTTAATGCAAAAATTAAAAGCTCTGGCACCTAAGAGAAATATCTTTGTAATACTGGTTTAGGCTAAGATTTCCTAGGCAGGATCCCCCACCACAAAAAAAAAGCTCACATAATGTTTTAAAAATTGATAAATTTTATCAAACTTTAAAAGTGTTCTTTAGCAAGGCGTGGTGGTGTAATCTTATAATCCTAGCACTCCAGAGGCTGAGGCAGAAGTGCTGTGAGTTCAAGGCTAGGCTGGACTACACAGTGAGACCTTGTCTCAAAACACCAAAACAAATAAATGCATATATACATAAAATAAAATAAAATGTATTCTTTGAAAAACACTTAAAACAGGAAAGAGCAAAAAAAAAAAAATCTGCGCAAGACCCCCGGTATTGACCCCTGGTATTGTTCTACATGGTAGCAAGCACTGAATTTGGTTCTGGACACCAGCAGAGCATGCCCCAAACCTGCAGAGCAGGAGCAATTCCCAAGGGCAGGCAAGGCAGAAGGCCAAGGTGAGTACCAGTACCGTCTGGCTGGAGGCCCATTTTAACATGCTAGCCTCACCCATAGAGGAAGTCTGGGCCCATCCCAGGAGTTTGTTGGTTGAGTTATGTCCCTGGTTGCTCTGTAATATTCCTTCCCTTCATTCTTGGGGCATGTACACTGGGCCTACTGTTCAGTGAATACATGCTTTTTGTTTTATTTTTAGACAGGGTCTTGTAAAGTTGCCGGGCTGGGCTTGAATTTGTGATTCTCCTGCCTCAGCATCCCAGAGTGCTGCCATTATAGGTGTGTACAACCACACCTGGCTGTGTATAGGTTTCTAATCATTTATCTTCTTCTTCTTTTTTTTTGGTTTTTTTGAGACAGGGTCTCACTATGTAGTTGAGACTGACCTCACTACGTAGTTACAGGCTGGTCTCGAACTCAAAGTGATCCTCCTGCTTCAGCCTCCCGAGTGCTGGGATTACAGGCATGCAACACCACGCCTGGCTTCATTTATCTTCTTGATGGATTGATATTTTTAAGCACTGTAAGATGCATCTTTTCAAACAATATTTATCTTAAAGTCTATTTTGTCTGATACCAGTATAGATGTGCTAGTCTATATCTAATGTCTTTGTTGTTCCTTTATTACTCCATCACAGACATTTTTTATGGTGTCATTTTGTTACGCTATCTTAAAATTTCTCAATGGTTGCCCTGCGGACTGCAATTAGCATATTAGTTTACAACAATATCTAGTCCAGATAAATGCCAATGTGATGTCAATAGTATACAAAAACTTGTTCCTGTATACCCTAGCTCTGTACCCTCCCCCATACTTTGTGCTATTACTGTCACACAAATTTTATCTTTACACATTGTTCAACAATACAGACTATAACTATGGCCTTATGAAACTGTCTTTTAAAACAGAAGAAAAAAGTTACAACCCAAAATATATCTACACTGTTTTATATTTACCTATGTCGTTACCTTTACTGGCAGTATTTATTTTTTCATGTGCATTCATGTTGCGGTCCAGGGTCTTTTCATTTCAGTCTGAAAGATTCTTTTTAGTATTTTATATAAGACAGATCCCTAATGATCAATTCTCCCTGATTTTGTTTCTCTTGGAACATCTACATTTCACCTTCATCTCTAAAGGGCACATTTATTATAGTATTCTTGGCTGACAGTCTCTTTTTTTAGCACTGGGAATATGTCAGTTTACTGCCTTTGGCCTCCATGATTTCTAACACCCGATCTGCTTTAAGTAATGAATTGTTTTTACTTATGATTTTTTTTCTGTCTTTGACTTCTGACAGTTTGATTATGATGCGTCTAGATATGGCTGTCTTTGTATTTATACTACTTGGAGTGTGTTGAGCTTCTGAGATGTGTAGTGTCTTTCATCAAATTTGGGGAAATTTCACCACTATTTACTGTCATTCTTTCTGCTCTCTCTCCTCCTTAGGTCTCCATTATGCACATGTTGATGCATTTGGTGGTGTCCCACAGGGCTTGGGGGATAATTATCCTTTACCCTTCTTTCTGTTCCTCAGAGTGGGTAATCTCAGCTGATCTCTCTTCAGCTTCACCGATCTTTTCTTCCACTGCTCAAATCTACTGTTGAGCCCCTTGGTGAATTTTTCATGCTGTTAGTATGCCTTTCAACCCCAGAATTTCTATTTGGTTCTTCTAATCACTTCTATATCCTGTATTAGATAATGCACAGTTCTCATGTTTTCCTCTAGTTCTTTTTTTTTAAATAGATAGGTGCCTTTAGTTCTTTTTTTATACTTAAAATGGTTTAACAATCTCCTCCCCTACTTGGTCAGTATAGGAAAAACATGGTGGTAAGTGGACTCCCCCGGCTCATGCTATCTACAGCCCGGTCAGAATAGGGCCCATACTAAACAGCTGGGTGTTCTGATTTTTTCCTAAACATGGTTTTGGTTGTTTCCTTGCAGAATACTTTCAATCCTCTGTATGGGGCACAAAGACCATCCAAGAAACCAATGCACCATCTTGAGTAAGGGCTAAAATGTGACAAGCACAGTGCATGGAAGCAAAGTTGTAAGTCAATTGTGCAATGCGAACAAAAATCTTTAATAAAATATTAAGACTCAAGTCTAGTAACATATTTTAAAAATTCACTATTACTATTAGGTTTATTTCAGGAAGCCAATCTCACTTATTTAAAATTACCACAAAACAAAACATCACGAGTTTATCTCACTAGATACATAATTTTTTTTGATAAAACTGAACACAATTTATGTTAAAAATTGGATAAAACATTTATCATTTTCTCACTAAGGCTAGAAATAAGAAAAGAATCCCTTCACTTCTGAGTAGTGGTCCTAAACTAGTATAATTAAGCAGGAAAGAAGGTATAGAATACATTACATGGATGGGACACCTCTACATTTGCAGAACACATAAAGAAATCTATAAACTATTAGAATTATTAAGTAAATTTATCAAAAGTACCAAATACAGGGTCAATGCACAAACTTAGTTTTATAAACTATCAAGTATTTAGAAACTAAGTAAATAAGTATTTTCAGGCATAAAAAGATATCAAATATCCAGAAATCTAACAAAGGATGTATATAAAAATCACAAAATATGTTAGAAAAGCACTTTAAGAACCCAAATGAATGGGTACATATGCCATATTAAGAGATGAAAAACACCAATACAAAAGAGAGAAAACAACATAGGAAAATGCCTTTCAGAACTCAAGGTAGAGAAAATTTCTCACACAACACAAAAATATTATCCTTAAAGGAAAAGTGCTAAACTACATATAAGAATTTCTTTTCAAAACACGCTATCAGAAGGGTAAAATGGCAATTCCTACAGATATTTATAATACATACATGCAATAAAGACTTATAAAGACCTACTAGAAACAATAAAGTGGAGAAAATATATTCAGTGTAGTCAGATAGCAATAGACACCCACTAGAATGGCTAAAATAAAAGACTAAGAACACCAAAGGCTGATGAGGATAAGATACAGCTGGAACTACCATTGCTGATGGGGGTTTAAATTAACATGACCACTTTGGAAACATGTGTAGCAGTCACAATTTAAGCTGGATATATACATACCCTTGGTCCAGCAGTATCACTCCCAGGAATACACTCAATAAAAATGAACACACACTGGAGGATATTTACTATTATGTTTTTTGCAGTCTTATTCATAATAGCCTCAAACTCCAAATAGATGTATGTATCTAGCAATGACAGAAGTGATAAATAGTCATTAATTCATACAGTGGAGTAGTAGAGACCAGTGGTGGCAAAGTTTTAGAGTTTTCAATGACACAAACAGCCTGTTGTGGCACATGTGCTATAGGTTCGCCACCACTGCTGTAGACCATGGTTGCCAAACTTAAGCATGTAGCAGAATCACTTGAAGGTTTGTCACAGACGACTAGGCCTGATCCTCAGAGCTTCTTATTCAGGAGGCTGGAAGACCACACTAAGAGAAGAACTGCTACAGACACAGCAGTGAAGACTAACCTGATAGTATTAGGTGTAACCATAGAAAAAGGCACATAGTGCTATGCTAAAGAAGGACATCAAAGAGTATATATCATGACTCCATTTGTGAGGTTTACAACGAGGCCAGACTAACCTGTAATGGTGTAGGTCACAACAGTGACTCTTTATCTTGGGTAAATTCTAACTTGGAGGAGGCATGCAGGAGATTCCTGAAGTCCTGGAACTGTGCCTCATCTAGACCGGGTGGTGGCTGTGGTGCTGAGTGAGCCTGGTACAGTGGTGCCCCAAACTGAATCACAGTTCCTGCCTAGGATTTGGGACTTATTCTGTGACTCAATGGAGTATGACAGAGGTGATGTGATACTCATTTTGGATAAAGTCTTAATAAGGCCCGAGAATAGGTATAGCAATGTCAAGTACTCTGAAAGGCTGAGGCATGATGATTGCAAATCTAAGCCCAGCCTGGGCAACTTAGTGGGAGCTTGTCTTAAAATAAAAACACAAAAACAGGGCTGAGGATGTAACTCAGAATAGAGGTCCTGGGTTTAATGCCTAGTACCCCTCCCCGCAGAAAAGGGCCAAGGGCCTTCATATTTGTACTCTTAGGAAATTTATCAGTCTGGGTCTAATTGGGGTCACAATAATTAGAAAGAACAGTTTTAATACCAACAGCTACTATAACAGGGCTTTTAATAACAAGGGTATGGCTAGTAAGAAAGAAAAGGGATCCTACAGAACACAGCAAGGAAAAAGGAATAACTAGTGCCTCTGCAGCCCCAAACAGAGCACTCATGGCAGAGCTCCTCCTCCCTGCCAGAAAGACTCAGGTCTGGCTGAAGAGTGCATGACCCTGGCTAACTGAGGGCCACTGCCACAGGTAGAACAGTGGTTGCCAGCTGCTGTGCACCTAGGAGCCAGCACTAGAAGACCCGTGAGTGCTACAAGAGTCTGGCCGAGAAGCAAAGCCTGTTCTTCTTGCAAGGTTTCCTCAATGCCTCCCACAGATAAAGTGTAACATCAGGAAAGCTTGCAGGGAAAACTATGTAAACAGTTTGGTTCAGTTTTCAGAGAACAGGCAAAGAATGTGAATTGGGAGCTGAGGGACAACAAACTGATAGATAAGTCAGGAGCCTGAGCCTCCACGATGTAGGAAATCCAGCTATCCGGCACAAAGACCACGTAAAGAGATCACTGAGAGGACACATGGAGAAGGACAGGCTCTAGGACTGCAGAGAGAGAGGAAGAGGTCCAGACAGCACGGCTAACAGTCCCTGCCAGCCCACAAGCTAAGTGCATTGGTCCAGGCCTTAGACTGAGAAATGGTTGTGGTTTATGCAATAAGGGTTTAGGGCAGTTTGTTACACAGTGATTAAAAACAAAAACAGAAACTGTTTCTGCTCATTGTCTGTTTCAATTATCTATTGCCCAAACCATTCTCACACTTTAGTGTCACAAAACACAATCATTAATTTGATCATGATTTTGGGACCTGGAGAGAGCTCAGGTCAGAAGAGACTGAGTCTGGATCCACTTCCAAGATAGCTCACTCACATGATGAGCAGGCTGGAGCCAGCTATGTCGGCTGGGAACTCAGTGAGAGGTGATGGCTGGGTCCTCTGTATCCCCCACACATACCGTGGCTTCTTCTCATTTCTGGGCTGGACTTACTACATCACAGTGTCTAGGTCCAAAAAAGCAAGCAGTCCAAGAGGGAGTGATCTGAGAAGACAAAACCCATTCTACACACACTTCTCAAGGTTTTTCTCAATCAGTGCAGGGGAAGTCAGGGCAAGAAAAATGAACTGATATACCAGGTCAATTGCTCTTCCTATCTTCACTCTGTTCAATGCAAGTATATCTTGTAGCTTGATGTGTGTGTGTGTGTGTGTGTGTGTGATTTCATATTATGATGTCTGATACCTTATAAACCCTTTCTTTATGTGCAGACTTCCCTAGAGGGGTGGGGAAAGGCTAGCCAACTGTAGGCTATAGCAAATGCCTAGCCAGAAGCCACCGATATGCAAACTAAGGAGTCTAGTGCCATACCTTCTCTGGCCCCTCCAAAGTCCAAAGCAACATTATCATCCCAGGGCCAGGTACTGGTAACAAGGGGCTATCCTTCTAGCTTGGAATCTGCCAAAATTATTCAAATTAGTCAGCCCTAAACTGTTTACCCAGTCCTTCCTTGACTTTCCTGCAGAAACCTTAGTAAAGTTTCTGATCTAATATTTTCCTTGCTGCTGTCTCCTATCTCCTGGCCAGCCTGGAGTCTTCCTCATGAGGCCCTGAGTGGTATGCCATGTCCCTTGGACCTGTGTGTATGAGAAACATGGTTTTCCTGGACCTTTCTGTGTCTCCTTATGCCCATATCTGCCTGCCCATCTCATAAAGAAAAAAAAAGTAACCTGAAACAGTTAGATGAACCAATATTTATAGATATAACAGCTTAAGGAACAGGCTGTAGGAAATTTCATAAGCAGACTGTGAAACAATGCTTAATATAGAGTAATATGTTGCTAATGAAACCTCTCAATCAGTGATGGTGAATGTTTTAGAAACAAGTGCCGAAACTCCAACCCAAACTCACCTATTCACCACAAAGTGCCAATACTGCAATTAAACCTGAACACTGAAGGTTTAATTTCGAAAAAACAACTAATTCATTTATTTTTGTCTTAAAAGAAAAAGTGCCATAGACTTGCCACCACTGCTGAGGACAAACCAGTGAAGAAAGAAGAAAGGAAGCAACTGGAATAGTGAGAAGGAAACCAAGGTATCTCAAAAGCCAAGGAAGGGAGAACTTTCAGGAAGGTGAACAGATCTGTAGTAACAAATACTGCTAAGAAGCCATGGAAGATGAGGTCTAAAACCTGTACTTTCTCTTTAGCAACATGGAGGTCTTCAGTGGGCTCGTCAAAGTTCAAAACGATGGACTGGCTGAATATGCTAAAAGGTAAATGGGAGACAAGGAAATGAAAAGTCCAAGTGTAGACACCATTTATCAAATTACAATGGTGGCTGCAAAGACTACAAACAGATACTGAGAATCCAGCAGGACAGGCACACTGAGAAGCACAGGTTGCCTACAGAAGACAAAGAAGGGAGAAGGGATGGAGTTCTAGATGACAGTGTAGGAACGAGGGGGAAGGAACTATTAGCCTCAAACAGAGAGAATGAGGTCAGTACACGTATCAATACAGGCAGACCTACAGGTCTTGTATTAGGAAGATAAGGACTCCCACATAATAGCTTCTATTTCCTTTATAAATGAAGGGATTTAAAGTTTCCTAATGACTTTGAGCCGGTATCTTAGGCCAAATGATTAAACTGTCCTCAGTAATAATTTAGACAGAGTTATTACAATAGGATTCCATTCCTTTTTTTTTTTTTTTTTTTTGTGTGTATTAGAGCTCAAACTTGGGTCCTTGTGCTCTTGCGCTTGCAAGGCAGGTGGTAAACCACTGAATTAAATCCCCAGCCCTGGATTGCATAAGCAGAATGGAAAGAAACAAAGAGTGAACTAGAAGTCTTTATCTTATGTGTAGATTATTACTTTTTTCAAACCAGAAAGTATAAACATTCTTTGTTTGAAAGTCAGCTGCATGGAATCATCACTTTTGGGGTCAAAACACCTGCATATTTCTTGATTATGAGAACTTACCTGTGTGACGCTTCCCAGGCTTCCTCTTCTTCCAGGAGGTCTCTTATGATGTCTGAACTGGAGCTGAAAGGAGATGGGTGTCAGTGTTGCCAGATGATAAAACTGAATGGTTCCACTTATGTAAAATTCTGGAAAGTACCACCGAGTCTATCGTGTGAGAAGACAAACCAGCAGGCCAGTGGCAATTCCCTGGACAGGGAAATGGGGCGGGCAAGAAGGGGACAAAGTGGCACAAGGACACTCGGGGGCGGTGGCACGTTTACCATCTTGACCATGAAGATGGTTTCAAGGCTGCACACACGTGTGGAAACTCAACCAGACCACACCTTAAACATTCAGTTTATTATGTATCATTTGAATTTCAATAAAGCCATAGAAATGAATTATCAATAATGAAAAAAATCACTAAAGCTCAAATAAATCCCTCAACATAAAACTAGATCTAAATGGAATATTGTCATGAGGATTTTTAATTTCCTATATCAAAGATCAAGCTGTGTTTTATTCAATCTGTAGCACCATGGGAAAAAAACTGAATTCCAGTAAAATTCAGAAGAGATAAGTATCTAAGTGGTTTTCAGCCTCTTTTTAATCATAGTAAAAGAAAATCTAATTAATTTGACCATCCTGCTATTAATGGTAATTAGTTATAAGTGCAATATGGCTTGAAGTACTGTTATCTGTGGCCTTAATAGAAAAAAGAACAAACTCTACGAAGGCTTTTAGTATCTTCTTTCTTGAATCAATACGAAATTATTTAAAGAAAGGTATGCATACATCAATATATAAAAAAAAACGCTACTAGACACATGACACATACCATGCCATGAGTGCTATGCTACATGAAATAACTCAGAAGTGACTGTCAGGTACTCTGTGGAGTAGGACAGGCTAAAGCAAATCCCGTTTTCTCTCCGATGAGGACAGATTTGGAAATGCTCATGCCAATTATATCTTTAGTGATGATACTCTAATGAACAGCAAAAGTTAAAAAATTATGGAGGTTTAAGTACTAACAAATCATTTTCCAATACTTCTGACAAATCACTTTGTTAGGTTTTTAAGGCATAAGGAAGCTTACTGGGTAGAATTCCTCATATTCTCAAAGAAGACAGAGTATGGGACCAAAAGAGAGAGGGAGGCATTATGGCCTAGCACTGAGAATATTACTTGAAAAGTTTCTAACACATATTTTGTAGCTATGTTTGTGTAAGGGACCTGAATAGAACAGGGACCACAGAGTCATTAGGCACAGTTCTGGACTTCCCCTCCCACTCCTGGCACTCTGACGGGGCCGTGGGCAGAGCCACCCTGGCTGCGACTGTGTGTCAAGGTTTAGGTGTGGAGACCTCCTCACACTGCCAAGAGTGTTGTCCCTCACTGTATCTCGCACGGTGGTTCCCTCACTGTGGACACGAAGGTCACTTAGAAGTTGTGGTAATTTTAGTATGTGAGAAAAAAAATCACGACAAGGAACAATTACACATCCAGTAATACTTTTAGTGTTTTACCGTGTATTTATTGAGCAGTTCTGTATGTTTTAAAAATAGTAGCACATGTACTGGTGAGACACTGTTTTGTCCAGAGACAATTCTCTTTTGTGTACATGTGCACTGGGGACACCCCTTCCACCCTGGGTGGGCAACCACTGACCTAAGCATCTGCTACTCTTTGACACTGAGACAGCCCCTGCTCAGAGGCAAGTGTCCCTGAAAACACTCACACATTAATTTATCATCCATTTTACCTGAAACTGGCTTAAGTAGGATTTCCCATTCAACAACTATGTAGTTTTTATTAAGAGAGAAGCAAGAAAAGTGGAAGGCCCTAACGGACATTAAGCAGACTTCACCAACTTCATTACTGTCCTAACAAAGAGACCCACATCCACTCACTGAGGAGGGGCTCTATTCACTGTCTTCCCATTGGCACCAAAGGGGTTCTGTTTCTCTCCCCTCACAAGATCTCGACTCTTGTGCCTCTTTACTTCAGAGATGACTACTCTAGTTCATAAGAAAACAGAAGCTGTTTTAACCTAACCTTTCCATTCTCTCCTTTCCACTCCAAAGTCATCCATTCTTCATTACCTAAATAGAATTAACAGAGGTATTTCTCCACCTTTTTTCATTATTGTTCCCCAAAGGAACCTTTTTAGACTTCCTTTTCCCCCCAACTCTTCTCAGGAAAGTTTAGTACTACAAATGTAATGCCGATCCTTTTATGTATTGTATTTATGCATCTGTACTTTGTATATAAAAGGAGTAAGGTTTTCTTGTTCCATCTATCCTACAACCAGTTCATTTGAGCAACACTGGGGATTCGACCAGGGCCCCTAAAATGGAGCTACATACACAGCTCTGTTTTTAAATTTTCCTTTGAGACAGGTCCCACAAAATTGTCCAGCCTGGCTCAGACTAGCAACCTTCCTGCCCCAGACTCCAGAGTGGCTGAGACTACAGGAATGCACCATCACCTCCCCACCCCACTCACCCCTTTCCCTCACTCCTGGAGCCGACACTGTTCCCGATGAGAGCCAAAGAGCAGAGAAATGTGGACTAAAGGTGATCATTTGGATCCAGATTTTACAGGTGTCAAGTCAGTTTCTTGCCAACAACTCCCGCTTCCCTAAAACACACACACACACACACGCACAAACTTTTTATTTTTTTTGTCCTTGTTTTTTAAACAGAAAGGTTACAAAGTATCCCTACCATTCCAGCTAAGTGAGCCTGTCAATATCCTAGTGAAGTTTGTTCAATTTACCTCACCCTAGAGCCTTTCAAATCACCAGCGCAAACCACTGGTTTGTTAAAAGAAAATATTTGTGTACACTAATGGCACAAACCTGAGAGGTTCGCTGGGCTGCCTCTCTGGAAACAGATGGTAGGGGAGGTTTATAAAAAACACATCTATGAGCCTTCCTCCCTGATTTCAATACCACTGTCCAGTCAGGCTGATGCCCCAGAGCCCTCAATTCCTATTATCTTTCCTTCTGCTTCACCCCCGGCACTCAAATCGTGGATGGACTGACAAAAGTCAAGAGAAGTTATGATCCAGCTTCAGGATTTTCTGCTGCATCTGCTACTTTGATTCTAGTCCCCTCTGAGTTATTAAGGTTGATGCTAAGACAGAACTGCTTATTCTTCTTAAAGCAATGTACTTGACTTTATTCTGTTCAAAAGCCACAGTCCTGAAATTAAACACAGTTTAATTAAATTAAACACAGTTTTCAGATAGGATTTTACAGAGAGCTGAGGCATAAATGTCAGTGTTACTAAAATTATCACTCACAGATCTATTCCTTGTGGGTAAAGCAATTAATACTGTTGAGGCCTTAATCATTTTAATATGCCTTGAAGATCAAAAATTCCTTAATATACTTTCAAGACATCTTTAAAAATCCTTCAAAGGAGAAAATTAATTATACTCTTTATGCTTGGGGTCAGAGTATGCACAAGTCGACACAACTATAACTTTTACGTATAGAACAAGTAACTTTTTCAGAGTGAACTTAGGCTTCTCTCCTTTTGGGTTTAGAACATTCTAGAAGACCACACTCTAAGAAGCTGGATGAACCTGAGGTCTGGTACAGGAAAGTTAAAGATTCTCTAAAGACAGGCAGTCAAATCAGTGGTCCAGGATATAGTGGACACTGCTACAAAGACTACACTCAAGGAAGTCTCACTGACAAAAGCAGTCAATCTAGAATTCTATCATTGCCCAACCTCTGTTCTGGAAGATTCTGGAAGGCTGAGCTGAATCACCTGTACTTAATTTTTCTTATCATCCAGACTTTATTTTCATGTGTCTGCTCCTATCTGATCTTTCTAAAATACTGTATTTTACTCTTGCCATTCTCTGACCAAAAGCAGCACAGCTTCTTATCAGGCAAAGGAAAATACAATCTGTGATAATACTTTTCGTAGTACTCAATTTCATCCTGTAACCATCCTATCTGAAAAGATAACAAATACTCTGGCAACCTATGTCCAGTAACGTTATGAGAAAAAAAAATCATAAATTTTAGTGTCAAGGGAAAAATAAGATTTCAAGTGAAATTAACTCCTGTTTCTGTCATTTACTGTGTAACCTTGGGCAAGTTATGAAACTTTTCCAAGTCTAAGTATCCTCCGTGCAAAGCCAGGATAATAATACATATACTTTATAGATATATTTTAAAGATGAACCAATGATAACACAGAAAATGCATTCTTAGAGCTTGGCACATAGTATGTGTTCAACAAACACCAGTTCCATTTTCATAAAACAGACCTGAGTCTGAGTTACCTAAATAATTATTTAGGTACTATTTCAACTATGTCAGTTTCAGCACTGTATTTCAATTTGTCCTAGGAAACCTGATAACTATGTACACCATTTAAATCTTTCATTTCCATGGTTTCTATGACACCAGCATACAAATTCATCAGAACTTTTTATTTATCCAGCATGGCAGGTACAAAAGGTACTGTGGGGTAGGAAAAATGCAAACACCTGCTATAAAAACCCTGTGGATAAAGATAACTCATAAGTGGAATTTTTCTATTATCTAATATTTATCCTTCCTCCCCAATCTCTTCTAACTGTGGCATCAATTTAAATGTGGTTGAGTATATGCGACATGAAAAGCAAAACAAAAAAATACATACAAGATAATAAAAGAAAGAACTTACAATCAAGTAATACATAGGAAATCCTTAGTAAAAGACGAGGTCATGCAAAAATAACTAAGTTTATGTCACTTTACAAAGCAGTCATAATCTGTGGTCATCTCATTTGGTTTTTAGGGTCATTTAAGTAGGTCAGTAAGGAAAAAAATTTAAAAAGAACTACAATTCCTTTTTTTAATTAATAAACTGAAGCTTAGAGAGATTATTTCAACAACTGCCCATAGGCCAGACATCTTTCTACAGGCTGAGCTGAACTCCCACAGTAATGTAAGAATAGCTGACTGCTGGTAGATGGATCTCATGGGGTCACACGAAGCTCAGGTACTTGCTGGAATACTGTCTTGGATGAAGACACATTCCTAAAACAAATGCGCCATTCACTAAAGACGTCTA